CGTATTTTCCGGAAGAGAAAATAGGGGGTCCAGATGGGGGTCCAGAAGGGGTCCAGAAGGGGTCCAAAAGGGGGTCCAGTAGGGGGTCCAAATTGAGGGGTCCACGTTTTGTACCGACCCCTTAAACCTCTACTTAAACGAACGTCAGTCAAATGTGACTGTTTCTAGAACCAATCGGAATACAGGATCTCCGACAGTTGCGAGTCGCTTGATCAGACACAAACGCTTCGCTTGCACATATCACTTTCGATTTGGCTATCAGTCTGACAGTCAACCCTACTGTTTCATTTCAGTTGCCGTTTCTTTGAATCGCAGACGGAGCGACGTGCAAGATAGGTTCAAGTTCACATTCAAGTTTAAGACGTGCAAGACTTTGGAAACTACTGCTGTTACAAGGACGTTGAAGTAGGTACATCTATTAAGATTTACTAACGGGCGTATTTCCATTAAATTAATCTTTATGTAGGAGTGACTCTTCGATCTTTACACCGTATGAAGTCCACTGCACGTTTTCCTAGTACAAAATGACTTATGTTTGCTCCTAATTTACCTTTCACACAGTCGACTGTGTAATAAACTTCCTTACAAGGTCTATTTTGCAAGAATCCGTTGCCTTCGGTTACTCAATGTTGAATACTCAGAATAACAATTCCGCGAAATAGCAAGCTCCGCATCAATTATCTGATTAATTCTTAGAATTCGCTTCGATCTGGCGGCTGGTGACGCCTTGCAGACTTCGGNTCAATTATCTGATTAATTCTTAGAATTCGCTTCGATCTGGCGGCTGGTGACGCCTTGCAGACTTTGTGCTGTCTTCTAACCACGATGACGGTTTATATTACGTTAAGAACTTGAAATCTCACATTTGTTCCTGGCGAATCCGCTAAATTGCAGTTGTGCCTTCCAGATTTTCGATCCACTGCAGTAATGATAATTGTTCGTGAAAAATCATGAAGTTGATGCTGACAATTTGGAACTTTCTATAGGTCGGAAAGAGGGCGGAAGGCACTTTTGCCAGCTCAGTCACATGTGACCAATATCGGCAAAACGAAATAAAAGTTCGAGATTTTTGTGAAATCTACCTGAAAAAACACACAATAACTAAAAAAAATAATAATAATATCATACACTTGAAATAGTTTATACTTTTTAACTACCGATTATTTTTGTATGAAACAAAGTTTCACAGCTTTCTGTTTGCGATGTACAAAGGAAATACCTATGGGAGAGCAAACTAGTTCCAACATAGGATGAGTGATCAAGCTCATGCCTAAAACAGCAAGAGAATTTTTT